GAGGACGAGGATGGAGGAGGAGGAGGAGGAGGAGGAGGAGGAGGAGGAGGAGGAGGAGGAGAAGGAGGACGAGGAATGTGTGGGCCGTGCGGCCTTCTCCAGGCTCGAGCGTCCCTCTGCAGGGCCCCCTCTCGGCGGGAGGTGCGGAGGCCAGCGGAAGCCGGCGGAAGCAAGAGCGAGGCGTCGACATGTTTGCATCGAGGGTCTCCAGAGTCGGCCACACGGAGCACAGCCCAGCCGACGGGGTTCGCTTCGGACGGCGCCTGATCTGATGGTGTGTTGCCCCCGTAGCCATTTTGGCTCAAGCCTCTCATGCTCGAGGCTCAGGCGTGTGCACGGACGCTCCAGCACCTCTGAGCGGTCCCATCGCCGAGCGAGGCTAGCGAAAAAAACACCTTTCCTATCTCATGGTGTCGCAGTGATATTCTGCCCCCTCGCCAGCCGCAGGACGGCTCTCCATGGGAGTCATGCCGCAGAAGGCGGCCCTGCTCGGGGCAGTGGGGGTTGGAGCCGCCGGGGCCTCTCCGGGAGATGTCTCGTGCGGCAGCTCCTCGTGGCGAGGAGGGTGGAGGTGCCACGCCCGTGGCGCTGCTCAGTTTTGCGAAGCTCGGGGGGGGGGGGGGGGCTGCGGCTCGCGAGGCAGGGCAGGCGGCAGCTCTGCCGAGCGCGCTGGATGGCTTGCAGTTGGCTGTTCTGCTTCTCGGCCGCTGGGGTTCTGAAGGAGCACGCCCCCGCGTCTTGCGCAGCCGTCTCTCGCCAGGCGCCCCCCGCCGCCTCCCGTGCGCCTGGACCTCCCCTGCGCCTCCTCGCCTCCTCGCCCCTGACGTCCCCGAGGCCTGCACCTCCTCGCGCTTACGTCCCGCCAGAAGCGGGTGCACCCTGGCCTTTTGTTCGGGGGTGGAAAGAACCCCCAACAGTGACACGTCGATTAGTGAGTTGTCCGTTTTCGGTTCTCGAGAGGGCGCCGCGGCCGTTATTTTCCAGGCTTGCGCTCGCCAGGTTTGGGCCTCAGGTCGTTTTCGCTAAACCGCGTTTTACTAAAGGGAGGTCTGTCCATCCCCGATTTGTGCTCGCAGGAGGGGCGTCGGCGGGGCGCTGGCGCCGTGCCTCTGAGGCGACGGCTTCCTTGCGCGACGCGCCCTCCGGTGCGACGGCCGCGGCGGAGCCGCCTCTTCAGCTCCGCGAGCGGGCCCGCGTGCTCCACGGGCAGCTCGCTGGCCCTGGTGCTCAGGACCCCGCCGCCGTGGCCCCGGCATGGCCCGCTCTTTGTCTCGCGGAGGCCAATTCTGAGGCGGAGTCGGTGCCGCGCTGCAGGATAGGATTCCGGGAGGAGCGGGGGAGGTCTCCCTTGGAGGCCTCCTCCTCTGGTGCCCATGGGAGGCCTCCCACGGTGAGGCCTCCCACGGTGAGACCAGACCTGGCGGAGAACCTCTCCTGGTCCTCCTCGAGGCCTTGTCCAGGCTTGGCGGAGGGCCAGGGGAGGAGGCCCCCCGGACCTCCCGAGGGTCCTCCCGAAGAGCTCCGCCGTCCACGAGGCCCCCTCCGACGTCCGCCGAGAGACCTCTGGGGGAACCAGGGGGGGATCTCCTGGAGGACCAGGGGAGGTCTGGTGGAGGCCTCCTCGACCTCGCTGGAGGGCTTCCTGGGAGGTCTAGTCGAGGTGGAGGGGCTCCCCCCGGACAAGGTGGAGGTGGATGGGGAGGTTCCGCACCAGACCTGGACCAGGTGCAGGTAGGTGAGGGCCCGTACCCAGCGTTGCAAGAGGTCCCTTGAAACCTTCACGCGCAGGCGCTGGGAGTGTCCCTGCAGTCCTCTCTCTCTCGCATGAGTGGCATGTCGCCTGTCGAGGCGGCGGTGAGCACCAATCCTTTCCGCGGCATGCGCCGCATGGGATCCGCCACGCCCCCCGATCTGTCTGGCTTCGGTGTTGGTCCCCTTGGCGTGGCTGGAGCCGCCGCGCCGCGGGTGGCCCCGAGAAGGGGGGGGGGAGGGGCTGACTCCGTGGGCGGGGCGGGCCCCCGAGTCCAAGCAGCCGCTGCTCTGCCCAGTCGTGGGGCGCGTCCGTGTTCTGCCCCTCCCCGTCGGCGCGCGTTGTCTCGAGCGGCAGCCCCGCGAGGGCTTCGGGTGCCCTGGGGTCCCTCCCGGGCCTCCCCCTCCCGCTCCTCTCCTGCCTTCCCTCACCTCGTCCTCCTGAGGAGCGGGGAGCGGAGAGGATTCCCGCCGCAGCGTGTGTTGGCTCGCGCGGCGGTAGGGTATGCAGTCTGTAGCAGGCCGAGCCGTGTGGTGCTTCATCCGTCCTGCTTCGGCCGCCGATCTGGCATGGGATTCGGGTGTATTGGCCCTTATTGGCCCTGTGGACAGCCCTGAGCAGGCCACTCCTCGTGCTGAGTTGTCAGGCTTGGTTGGGTGCCTCAGGGCTGTGCGCTGTGGCGACGACCTAACGGTTTTCTCAGGCAGCCTGAAGCACGTCCGAGAGTTTCACCGAGGTCGGTCTCATGGTGTGAAAATCGGGAATGCCGACCTCCAGCCCGAAACCTGTTGCTTGTACGATGAGAGGCCCGGTAACTTCGTCCTGCCTCACGTTACGTCCCACATGCCAATGAACTCGCGCGCTTTGCCTCCAGGGCCTCGTCGGGGGCTGCCCGTGTCAGCGCGATGGCGGACGGCCTCAGCCTCAGCCTCAGCCTGCCTCAGCCTCAGCGTCAGCCTCTCAGCCTCAGCCTGCATCAGCCTCAGCCTCAGCCTCAGCCTGCCTGAGCCTCAGCCTCAGCCTCAGCCTGCCTCAGCCTCAGCCTGCATCAGCCTCAACCTCAGCCTGCCTCAGCCGCAGCTTGCCTCAGCCTGGCGCCGATCGTGCACGCAAGCCTTTGGGTGAGCCCTGGCTCCGCGGGTCGGGCCGCCAGTTCTGGCCCGCCGCGCCCTGGCGCGAGGCGCGAGCCGCGTCCCAGTCCCCAGGCGTGGACGTCCAGGGCCGCGTCCCAGCGGAGCGGCGC